ATCACAACCTTTGCTGCTTCATATTTATGGCCATTGCTTATTTATTTATCTATATGTTCATTGTCTGTGCTCTGCACTGTGATAGAAGAGCCAGGAAAGCCATGGGGATGTCTTATTTCATTTTAACTCTCACTAGATACTCAAAAAAATATTTGTTTAGTGAATAAATAAATAAATAAATATTTTACTGACACTTTATATGTTAAGTTTAACAAGTAAATTCTATCCAATGCATGGTGTTTTTTTGGTTTGTTTTTTTCTATTCCATCTTTTGCATTTCAGTTACCTACACTAAGATGACAGGGGTTTCTGCTCATTTACTTATAAAATCACAAGTTGGTTAACACAAAAGAACAAGGATAGCATAAAACTTAGTTGAATGTGCTTTGCACATTTTATGCTTTCTAAATTCCATGATGTTAAATATTGTCTTTTGATTATCTGGTCTTAAAAATCACTTAAAAATTACTTTTTTTTGTCAGTTTCTTTCTAGTTTGTGAGTGCATTGAGGGCATGGAATGTGAATCATTCACCCTTTCAGTCTCAGGGCCAGATTCAAAGCCTGGTAAAGTGAAGGTTTACAATAGATGTTTGTTGAAAATGACAAATAGGAGAAGGATTCAGGAAGTACAAGCATCTAGGTACAGATTTATGCTTCTCTGTGAAAACGTATCAAGGTTTTCATAAAAGTTTGTGATCCTGCATTTCCTTAATCAATTGCCCTTTGTGTCCCAAACTTAATCCTAATTCACTTTGTCAGGCAAACTCCCAATTTACATAACTCCCAAGTTACATACAAGTCTATTCCTAGCCAAATCAACTTCCCACTATTCACTGCAGATGGAGCTATACCTTAGTATGGATACAGTCTCCTATAGAATCTACAAGTTAGAAGTAATAGAGGGCCAGGACAGGTACACAGGGATGGCAACCAAATTAAACTAAATGGCTTTGGTCTAACCCTGCTGGTTCTTATATCAAATATGGGCTAGATGAAACCAGAATAAACAGAGAAAATTGCATATTGGCCCAACTGATGTTTATGTAACTGAGAAGATTCTGGTACATGTTGGTTTAATAGATTTAATAGGCAAGAGAGTTTATTTTCCTTAAAATAAAAAAATATATATTTTTTCGCCCTAGCCGGTTTTGCCGCTCAGTGGTTAGCGTGTCAGCCATGGACAGAAGTGTCTCAGGTTCAATTCAAGAGCACATACCTGGGTTGCAGGTTTGATCCCCAGCCCTGATCAGGGTGTGTGTGGGAGACAACCTATCAATGTTTCTCTCTGTGTGTCTCTCCCTGTCCCTTCTACTTTCTCTAAAAATCAATGGGAAAGATATCCTCGGGTGAGGATTAACAACAACAAAAAGTTATTTTCTTCCTAATGTGATAGTTATTCTAAAATTTTAAAGCAATAACAGGGTATAATACGAATCACTCTATTCTTTGAAATAAAACCCACTGTTTTGGTTACATATTGCTCTATAACAAATCAGCCCCAAATGGAGGACTCAAAACAGTAATAATCCTTTTATTACTATCTCTCACAGTTCTAGAAGTTGGCTGGATTTTGGTAGGCAGTTTTCACTTGGAGACAGAGCAAAGACAGATCAGCTTACATTTCACTTGCTCATAAGTTGGATGACTGACTAGGGGGACTCAGAGACTTGTAGACTGAAGCAGCTAGGGCTCCGTGGGCATCTCTCTCTCTAAGTCATTGTGGCCTCTCCACATGTCTTCTCCAGCATGGTGGCTTCATAGTAGTGGGACCTTTTACATGGTAACTCAGGGCCCCAGAGGTACATGTCCTGGGAGAGAGAGTGCCAGGTGGAAACTGTGTTGATTTTTAAAAAAATATATTTTATTGATTTTTTACAGAGAGGAAGGGCAAGAGATAGAGAGTTAGAAACTTCGATGAGAGAGAAACATCGACCAGCTGCCTCCTGCACATCCCCCACTGGGGATGTGCCCGCAACCCAGGTACATGCCCTTAACCAGAATCGAACCTGGGACCTTTCAGTCCGCAGGCCGACGCTCTATCCACTGAGCCAAACCGGTTTCGGCTGTGTTGATTTTTCGTAGATGGTTCTTGAAAACCATGCAACACCACTTCTGGGGTACTCTATTTGTGAAAGGAGTCTCCCAAACCTTCCAGGTTAAAAGGAGAGGAACATAACCTTCATTTCATGAAGGGGAAATGGCCAAGTTCTTCAAGAGCATGTGGAATGTAAAATGTCGTGAGCATCTTTGGACAATACAATCTGCCACAACCACTGTTAATATTTTATTGACTCTCCTCCTAGGCATCTCTTTCTATTTTACATAAATGGTTTTTCTGATACATGCTGTTATAGAACCTGCTTAGTTATATTAGACCCAATGGTCCTATTACAGAAAAAGAGACTGAGATCAGTAACATGGCTTGTCACATGGTGAGTTAGCTGCAGAGTTGGGCCAGACTCCAAGCCTCCTGATTACAAATCTAGGACTTTCTGCTATTCTAAGTGGAATAGTGAAAGCGGAGCCCTGTGATGTTTCATGTTGAAGGTGTGGGTAAAATGAAGTAGATGTTGAGGCACTTGAGGAAAGCAGGATAGTGAAGAGGCTAGTTGGTAACACATATAAGAGCAGGTGGTTTTACATTTGTAATGAAAATGCACATGAGACATAAAAGTTTAAGAGATGCCACAGAGAAAAGCAGGTGGCTGATAATATAGTTTCTCTTAAAGAAGTTGGATTTTATGTTTAGAGAAAAATAGAAGTCAGCTTAGACTGGAGACAGAAAAACCTAGTTTAGGAGGGAAGGCATATTAAAGTTGGAAGCCATGTGACAGTCGCAAAAAAAGGAACACCTTTTAAATTTTATTTTAGTGTCTACGGTATACTAACTAGCATGGTAGTTGTATAATATACATGTCCATTTAGCAACACACAGCTTTAAGATGTTGGGATTATTATTTTCATTTTACAGATGAAGAAGATGAGTACCCCCAAGTAATCCTGATGTACACACACAGTTGGAAACAACTGGGGCCAATGGCCTCATTTTATAGATGAGAAAATAGGCTCAATAAAGTGAACTGACATGCCTAAAATCTCACAGTTACTTGGGCACAGAGTCAGGATAAGAATTGGTGGCTTCTGTATGCACACTCTCTGGTTTTCCATCTAAATACATTTCCCAAAATGTATTTTTCACAACACACGACCTATGAACTAATCTGTGATGAATCAGGTCCGGTATGATTGAACATGTTTAGTTTTGAGAAATACTAAAACCATCTTACCCTTCTGGAGATTTATCCTATACTAAAAGCTCTGAGAAGTTGTCTAATTAAAACAGTTTGTTTTACTTAACTCTAAGTGGTCCAAAATTGTTTGAATGTGGATCCTTCTTTATAGTAACTGAATAGTAACTTGGCAAAACAGGAAAGCCAATATAGAGAAATCTAGATTGAATAAAGGAATTACTAATAAACATATTCAAAGCTGAAAAAGCTAGATTATAGGTACTACATGCACTGGGTTATTATCTAAGTTATGTACAATTTCTGTCAAAGTTTATAGTAATTCACATTATAATCAGACATGATTTATGGTTGTGACTTAAGGGAATTAAGGGGTTTGTTTCCAAGATCAGAGCAACATGAAAAAGCCCCAACTCTTCAGAGGTTAGAATAGAAGGCAAATACCCTAAAGCTTATTAAAAGCTGAACTATTACCACTATACCACAAACTTTGGACAGAATCATCCATCTGGTTATGAGGATAAAAGGAATTCAGATACCTGGGACATCAAAGGCAGGAAGTTTTCCTATTGATGAGCTTCCTCAGGGTACCTTTTATGTCCTTATTCCTCAGGCTATAGATGAAGGGGTTCATCATGGGTGTCACCACAGTGAATAGTACTGCACCAATTTTATCTCTATCATCAGGGTGAGTGGATGAGGGGAAGAAATAACCCCCTACAATGGTCCCATAGAAGAGCAATACAACTGTCAGGTGAGAGGCACAGGTGGAGAAGGCTTTCCACTTTCCCTCTGTGGATGAGATTATCAGGACAGCCCTGACAATGCAGATATAGGAGAAGAGGATGAGGGCAAAAGGGAACGTGATGACTGATAAGCCCACGATGAATAACACAAGCTCATTGATCATTGTGTCTGAGCAGGATAGTTTGAGCAGAGAGGCCAAGTCACAGAAGAAGTGTGAAAGAGAGCAGAAGAGTGTGTGTCAGGGCAACAATATTACTGAGGACCCATGGAATAATTGTCAGCAAAATGCAGAGCCTGGGCTGCATGATGGTTGTATAGTTCAGAGGGTGGCAGATAGCCACAAAACGGTCATAGGCCATGACTCCCAAGAGGAAATTGTCAATGACAACAAACACAATAGAAAAGTACATCTGTGTGATGCAGCCCTCATAGGAGATGGATTGACGCTTGGTCTGAATATTCATCAGCATTTTGGGGACTGAGGTGGAAATGGAGGAAATATCAGCAAAGGATAGATTAGCAAGGAAGAGGTACATTGGGGTGTGAAGGTAAGAGTCCAAGCTGATGGCCAGAATGATGAGGCCATTTCCAACCACAGTGACCAGGTACATTCTAAGGAAAAGCACATAGAGGAGATTCTGCTTCTCAGTCTCATTGGAGAGTCCCAGGAGGAGGAATTCAGAGATGCTGGTTTGGTTTCCTTGATGCATATTTCTATTGATCTGAAGAAAGGAACACAAGGTCTTCTTATTCCCACAAGGAACCCCAATATAGTACCATTTAGTTACAGCCATTGCAGGTGGGTGGGCACTTCCTTTAGGCTGAAGGGCAATGAAGGGTGGAGAAAGATTACTTAATAAGGAACTGTGTCAGCAGTGCAGAGCTCCAGTAAATGCCTCACGAAGAAAAAATAGAGACATGACAGATACTTCTCAATGAACATGTTTTAAACTCTAACATAATTCTGAATGTGATTTTTACAGTGGGCTCCAACTGTAGTTAAATGCCCCAAATTAAGATAATATTTGAGGTATACGCCATATTCTAAAGATGCTAGATACCCCTCTCTGAAGGAATTACTTAAAAATGAACAACTTAGTTCTAGGACTTTTCCCACCATCCATCCTCATCCTTTAACTCGAAGAAGATAGAATTTTGAAGTGTCATTAAAGTGAAGAGTTTGGGGAAGGAGAAACAATTGAGGGTTAAGAATGAGTATGGGTATATACCCCTTCCTCCTCAACTTAGGGGGGACTCCAAAAGAACTGCTCTTGGAGAATGTGTACAAGAAGGGAGACCAGAATTTTGCTTTACTCATGGCTAGATGTTGGGTAAACAAAGACAGTTTAGAGGATACATAAAGATCTAAAGACATGTTTGCCTCTCACTTCTAAATGAGAAGGCTCACTGGATCATCACCAGGGATAGGAAAAAGCATGGTAGGGCAATGCTTCCTCATCCATGCATAGAATGAATATGTGATTTTTTTTTTTATAGGCCAAGTAGATGCTGCAGGGGGTTGTTGGAGTCAAACCATGTCATTGGGACTCCAACCAAGAAGCAACCTGCGGAGTAGAGGAGATTATAGTAGTAGGAGGTTATGGAGTGGCTCTCTTAGGAAAGAAGAATCATAGAAAGATGAGGGTAAAAATTCACTATGCCCCAAATGGTTTGGGCTTAGCCAGAATGTAAAACTGTATATTTTTGAGGGACAATCTCTACTCTCACCTTCCTGTCCTGCCTTTCCCACCCATCAGCTATACTGTACAAATTTTGCTGACCTCCTGAGGCATCTGCCTCACTGGTTAAGAGCAGCACTAAGTTAAAAAAGCTCACCTTTGAAAGATGGTAGGATCTCAGAAAGTGACTGGACTCTAGACACAATAGTCTAACGTGCTGTTGGCAGGGCAGCAGTGGAGTGACTAAGAGTAGCTCTTATGTGATTTTCAGAATCAGACTCTTTTCCCAAGAATCGGAGTTAATAGTCATCATGCTGGGCTCACATGGGACATTGGCACCTTCTAAGTCCTTTGGGATTGTATCCCCAAGATGTTTTCCTCAAGACAAACAGTTGTTTTCACATACCAGTCTCTATGAGGTAAATGGGGAATAGACAGTTAGCTCTGCTTTTTTTGTTTGTTCATCTTCTGGTACATCTTCCTACCTGTGATTTTCCTGTTTGTAACTTAGTTAGTTACTGCTCTTCACCAGTGAGTGAATTATTTGTTGTGTGTCTTATGTTCCCAATGAGATAGTAAGCATTTTGAGAATTCCTCCTCTGTTTACCCTGTAGTGCCTAGTAGAGGGGGAGCAATTAATAAAATATCTCAAGAATTGAGTTAATTCCTGCAAGAGGGGCAATGAGTCCCAAGAGATGCTATCTCTAGTGGAAAGGGTAGGCTATGGCCTCTGTATCACTTAAATGAATGTCAGCATGGGAAGGGAATCTAGGGACCCATTGATTTAGCACTCAGTACTCTTAGTTGCAAATAAAAGAAATAAAATCTGGGTTTTTAATATTGAAAAGAAACATATTGAACTAATATTGTTTTACAGATACATTGGGAAAGTTGAAAAAACAGACCCTGAAATGGATAGGAGCAAGGGAGGCTGTATAGCCAGAGACAAAGCCCAAATCAGTACATTCCTTCTTCTAATGTTTACATATGCCTTATTTCTCACCCAAACCAAGAGCACTCACCCTCTCCTCAGCAGAAAGCAACTTCACTTACAGACTAACTATATAGTTATTCATGACTAACCTATAATAATAAAAGGGTAATATGCTAATTAGGACGTTCTTCCAGATGTCCTTCTGGACAACCTTCTGGACAAAGCCATGGTGGCGTGAGCCGAGGCAGAAGTGGCCGCTACAGTGGGCAGGGGGCACTGAGGCAGAGGTGGCTGCTGCTGCTGCAGTGGGGGCCGAGCCCCTTGCACGAATTTTGTGCATCGGGCTTCTAGTATTTAAAATAACTGGACAATGGAGAAAAAAGAAAAAGCAAGTTTTTCTATTATCTATCTATCTATCTATCTATCTATCTATCTATCTATCATCTATCATTTATATAGCTACCCACAGCTAGGAGGGAAATATGAGTGATAGAAGCCAGAACAGTGCAGTGGTTGATTGGGCTGGGAGAGGACTTGATTGGAAAGGGGCACAAGAGAACTTTCTGGGGTGATAAAAACATTTCATTACTGAGTACAATTGTCCAAACACATCAACCCGAACCAGTTGAGATCTATGTATTTTATTGTATGGTATTTACACTTTGATTACGTTATAATAGAAGCAAAACAAGCTCCCACTTTTTCTTTTTGCTTCAAATGGAATTTGAATCTATTATCACATCAGAATCAATGGAAAATATTTTCTTGCCTTATCTTTTCTCCCAGATAAGCAGAGGTTGAGATGTTAAATCTTTGCTGGGATTCTGGAAGCAGATTCTGGGAGACAGAGTGGAGCCAAGAAGGCTCCTACCTATGATAACATTCAGAGTGAAGAGTCAGCCTCCCAGTTGCATAGGAAGTTAATCCACATTAGGCAAGAGGAAGAGACCAGGTATGTGGCATTTACTCAGAAATAAGACCCAGGATAGAACAAGTAAGTAGGAGGCACTTATGTATAAATACATGGGCAGGTAGGAGAGAGCTGTTGATTTAGACATTTTGGAGCTAGGGCTTCTGAGAACTCCTCGGTTATGGGGAAAAAGTAAAAAATCCTTTTTGGAAAAAACAGAAGAACTTACCAAAACTTATGTTGAGGAAGACGCTGGCCTATGTGACACTATTGTCTTCTTGCATATGTTACTCTCTTCTACTCTACATAAAAAAGATTGACTCATAATTGTATGTTACTTTCCCAATAGTCTGAACTCTTTGAAAGCAAATATCTTATATTTCTGTCTATAAATTTAAGCATACAAGCCAGTGTCTGACACATAAAATAGTTCCTTCTTCATCTACAAGTCACTGTATCTCAATATTCTTCTTCTTATCCTAAATCCCTGCCCCCTTCACCATTTGAGGTTCTTTTTAAAAAATATATGTATTTTATTGATTTTTTTACAGAGAGAAAGGGAGAAGGATAGAAAGTTAGAAACATCGATGAGAAAGAGGCATCATCAGCTGCCTCCTGCCCACCCCCCAACTGGGGATGTGCCCGCAGCCAGGGTACATGCCCTTGACTGGAATCAAACCTGGGACCCTTCAGTTCACAGGCCGATGCTGTATCCACTGAGCCAAACCGATTAGGCACCATTTGAGATTCTTGATGATGTGGTACTGTGGGTTATTCTGACTCATCCCATATCCATAATACAAACTGTCTTCCCAGGATGTGTTTTATAATCTATTTCATTCAATCATTTCCTTATATAGCCATCTCTCTATCTACACTTATTAGTTGTAATTAGGCAACACAGACATGAACAAACACACATTTCCTATATGGTTTCCTTGGTCTTTAACATGTGAGAATGAGAAATTGAAATCCCTAGAAATTTTCAGGAATGCATAAACTTATGTCATTCTTAAAATATTTCAACATTCTTTATACACTTTAATTATTATTGTAGGTATCTAAATTTGTTTAATAACTATAAATACTAGGTGTATTAGTATATATCAAGTAGACTACAGTGAATAGCCAAATACTGGAATATGTCCATGAGTATTATTGGGTGATATTTTAATAACTAAGCATTCAGATTGCCCAGTAAGATGAACAGCACTACACAGAACCACATGTCAAAATTTCCAATTTAAGGAGTTAAATTTGCTTCCAAAATTTATTTCTCGGAACATCACTCATAGGATTTGTATAATATCCTACGCATATAAACTTATAAATGTTAATTTTATTTGTAAGAATGACTCATGTTGGCAGCAGATAGGACCATGCACACACACTCAGAAGCAGCTACTAGCAAGACTGACTGATTAGATCGTGACTGCTCTTCTTCCAGTGCTTCTTGTCCAGGTTCCAGAAATGCAGACTTAACGTTTGACTGTGTGCCATGTCTCCTGCTTTCCCCTTGACATGACTCCTCTGAACTCATTGCCTCTCTGTGTTGATCATTATGCTGTAATTCATGCAGGAGAATTATAATATTTCCTCCCATTTTCTTGATTTCTCAACTACTTTTTCTCAGAATTTGGATTTAAATGTACACACACACACACACACACACACACACACACAGTGGGGCCTTGACTTACGAGTTTAATTTGTTCCAAGACTGAGCTCGTTAAGAAGCTCGTTAAGGAGCTCATTAACTCAAATTACTCTATCCACTGAGCCAAACCAGTCAGGGCCAAATTTACCTTTTATTGGCATTCCAGACAATGCCTAGCACACTATGTACATTTAATTGATTCATATAGTCTGATGTGACTTGCCTGCATTTGTTAATAAGCAAACTGCCAACCAGAGAGTTTTGTTCTTCTCCAACATTTAGTTGGAAACAAAGACATTTCTAATATATTGTTAAATCCATAACTCTTTCCAGAATAAGTAACACTTCATAATTCATTTTCTTTATCCCCATGTGAAATCAGCTTAAAAAAATTTTAAAGCATCAGCAGTAGGTTTGAAGAAAAAAAGAAGTAACCAAAAAAAAAGAAGTGGAATCTAGGGAAAATGTGACAAGTGGAGAAGAATCATGGTACTATGATGATGGGAAGTTTATGTGCCTAATAAATCTATGTGCATGTCAGATTCTTTTTTGAGTATAGG